AGTGTAATTCTTTCCATTTGAGGTAAGAAACATGGTAAAATTACATACCTTTGAGAAGGAACAATGCCTGCATAAAATTGTTTGCAATCCGTTCAGCCTAAAAGAGAACATATAACAAAAAGCATTAGTCACAAAAGTTCTGAAATGAGAGTATACTTGTGGTAACATATGAACGGAAGTAATGAATCATTGTTGACACTACAGAAACTCTATTATCAATGCTCCCTTTCCTCCAATATGCCAATTCTTTGAATTGAAGAACTTTCCTCCAATGAATCGGGTTTTAAATCGCAGAACAGCCTATGATTTAAACACCTACCTTTAACAATTGTCATATTCTCATAAAATCCTTGATCAATTAGAAGCATTTATTGTTCAGTCTGACTGATCCTTGGTAAAAGGTGAGTCCAAGGGTCAGTCTAAGGGTGATAGGAAGCTTTTCAGCTTAATCTGAAAGTATTCAAAAATAACTTTGGTCCCGCAAGATATAAAAGCATCGCAATGAAATACCCCAAGATTAAAATGTAGATTTTGTATAGTCTATTTCCCGGCTTAATTTGATATTGGTATGGAAAGCCACTGCATCAACATATAAGGACGGGTTGATATGGGTACACACCTAAACTCCGGCGTAATTTGCACGAAGTGGCTTCCCTCAACTCAACGCCGCATCCCGCATTTGATAGAAGGTTTGCTAGATATAATAGCAGAGGAGAAGATCAGAGAAGAAGAACAAAACAAGACAGATAATTCACCTCACCACACATTCAAAAAATATTATCATCATATACTGATACTAAATTCGCTCAGAATCTGGGTGCACTATACCTAGTGAAGTAACGTAAATGATAACTTACATCGTAGGGAGAAGACACAGGGAACATGAGAGCTGAGGAGAGTTTGTTGCGATCTTTCCCCGGGAGAAATGGGTTCAAGGCTAATCTCACTTTTGACCTAAATGATCTGGTCATCTGGTGAAATGGGTTGAATGATGAGGAAAGGAAGACCTTTCAGATGCTAGAGCGGACGAGGATTTACTAACGGCATACTTTTGTTGACAGGGATACGAATAAGAGCGTACAATGATTGAAGCGCGTAGTATATGTGAAGCAAGTTGTGATGTACCACCAACAAATTTTTAATACCCAAAATATCCTTACCTTGATTCATGCTTATAATTTTGTAGAGATATTCCTATGGTTGCCCTTCACATAATTCTCAATAAGACTTTTTTATAAATAACAAAAAAAATAAGTTTATTTATAATAATAAAATAAATATAAAAAATTACGTAGGCCTCTGCCGCAATATCTTCCATCTCCTAGCATCGTCACCTCCGGTTTCTGGAAAAAAAAAACGTCAACTTGTGTAAAAATACCACACTTGTCCAAAAATGTTATGAATATGATATTTTTACTCTTTGAAAATATCAAACGTTGCTTTCAAAAAGCCATCAAAATGACATTTTTTTGATGGCATGTGCAACTTTTATTTAGTTTTTACGTTTTTTTATTTATTTTTTATTTTTTTCATAGTTTACTATGATTATTTAAAATTTCTATGGAGTATTAAACATAACAAGGGAAAGGATAAGATGCAAGAGTTATTTATTTTTTGGGAATTTAAACTTTATGCTTCTGTTTTTATAATTTTACTTTTATTTACTCTTCTATTTGAGAAATTGCCTCAAGAAAGATACAAAAGACCCGATCTGAAATTAAAACCCCTGATGTACATATAATTTGTCTTCCTCGTATCTTAAATGAATGTATATTTGTTTCAGTGAAGAAATAAATACTTAACTGTAATTACTTTAATTAATTCAGTGTTTAATGAATCTTAAAATATTACGTAGTATAGTATTTTTTAGCACTCAAATTTGATCAACTAGTTTTGTGCTTTGCTTGTACTCCTTGGTTGAAAAAAAAGAGAATTTCATACCATAACACTAGTGATATATAGTAGTCCTTTAATTTACTAAATACTAATGAAAAGTGAAAACACTCATCTAGGCCAATTTAATTTACTAATAAACTGATCCTTATGCCATGAGTGTTTGAAAGAGAATGTTTGAGATTTTCTTCTTTTGGTTTCCTGAAATGCTGAAGAAATTAAATAAATCCCCTTGTGATCTGGTAACCATACACAACTCCCATTTTGATCAGTAGAGGTTAATGATATTCCAGAGCCATTACTAGCACAAATCCTTTTCCAAATATATGTATCTGTGTTTTTGGGACCAAGTTATTGCCTCTTCGGGTATGTAGCATGACAAAAAGGGACCCAAAGTGAATCATTTCTCTTCCATTCTCACCAAAGTTTAAGGAATAATGCCTTTTCAATGTTAGAAGAGAGAACAGATGCCCAATCCACCTTACTCATTAGGAAGGCAAATGTCTTTCCATCTCAACCAATAGTGCTTAGGTTTGCCAGCCCTATTGCCCCAAAGGAAATGAGCCAATTTTCTCTCTAAAATCTTAATAACAGATTTAGGTAATTTATCCACAACAAGAAGATGAATAGGAATAGTATTCAAAACATATTTGATGAGAACTAACCTACCACTCTATGATAGATTCCTTTGTTTCCAGGCTGTGAACCTTTTTTTTTATAATCCAGGTGTCGGGGCTTACGCTCCCATAATCCTGGAGTCTATGAACTACCCTCCAAAGTCCCTAGACAGTTAAATCCGGATCTGATCACAGTCAGCCTCATCAAGTCTGGCTCCAAAGGGGGAATCCAGCAGGACTTACATCACCTTTCAGGTTTCTCCTCCCACCACACGAACCCGCTACCTTCATTACCATCCTCTCCCTTCTCAGCGGCTCCGTGAACGTAGGAAGAATCATTGAGAGCAAGACCTCCCTCATCTCCCCTTGGTGGGAATTGAACCCAAGATCTCCCACAAAGGAGAGACTTGGGGGTGGATGGTCATCCATTGGACTACACCCACCTTCCCGCTGTGAGCCTTTTATCGAATGTTTTAATGATGCTATGACAATAATTGATTCTGTTGCATCCTTTATGCAGGTTGGAGCCCAAATATCTCATAGGGAGATTGGATATGGTCATTTCATGCAATCTTTCCATCTTTCTCACCCGCCCAAGAGAGGTTTTACCTCATACTACCTCCGTCCCTTAAAACTTTGTCAAATTTGACCGGCACATGGATTAATAAAGTAAAAATTGTATGATAAAGTTTTGTGCAGAAGAGAGAGAATTAACTAGAACCATAAATTCTTTACTTAAAAGGGAAAGTGACAAAGTTAGTGCGACAATCAAAAAAGGAAAGTTGACAAAGTTTTAAGGGACAAAAGGAGTATGAAACTGGTCTTATCAAAATTTATAGCCTATCCAGAGGCATTTTGGTAAAGTTGAAGAAATCTTTTGAAATTTAGGATGGATCTAGCCTCACCACTCAAAAAGTTGAGAATATCATCTGCTAAACTGAGGTGTGAAACTGGAAATCCAACATGTCCGATCCAATAGGGTCTTATCTTGCCATTTACTACTATGAGTGATTTAAGCCATCTAGTAAGAGATTCAGTAGCCATAATAATCAAGAATGGGGAAAGAGGGTCCCCTTGCTTAACACCCCTCCAAGGTTGAAGTATTGGCTGAAGTTACTCTAGAGATCATCTAGAGCCGAAAAACAGTTGTTACCAAACATCAGTGGCGGACCCAGAAAAGATGAAGCGAGGGCACTCCTGCATAGATGGAAATGGGCCGGGTCAGGTCAAATCGGGTGTATCATTAGTCTTTTTAACAAGTGCATTCAGATTATTATTTATAACTGGAACTAGATTATTCAATGTCAGCTTCAAGCAATGACATATATGGATTTATAACTGGAAATAGATTATGTATGGCTTTTTGAAAGATAAATATAATTTGGATAAAATATAATTCATCTTTGCGCCGTTTCTGATTTTACATTAGAATTCTCGTTATTTTTCATACTACAAACAAATCAGATTTTACATCTGAACAAGAATCATGTCGAATGTTACACATTGTACCACAAAATTTGTTGGAACTTTGTATGGAATATAACATTACATGTTAAAAATGAAGTATACATCATGTTTATGATTTCATCCTTTAATACAACTTTATTTAATAATATGATTCGATATATTTAACATTTATCATATTATAGATAAAAATTTAAAGAGTCTTTTAGTTTGAAACTAATTTATATCGAATTGACACATTTTTTCATGTATGAATCTTTATTCAAGATAAAAGTCTTCCATGTAACATATTGGAACTTTTGTCATATCTTTGACCTTTAAGAAACAGAGGAAGTATATAGCTAAATTTTATAAAATATTACTCTCCCTGTCCTATTTTACTTGTCATACTATTTTTGGGTTGTCCCAAAAAAAATATGTTGTTAAACAACATTTCACTTTATCATACTCAAATTTCAATCACAACTTTTCCTTTTTCAAACACTTTATTAATAATTGTGCCAAATTAAAGTAGGACATGTAAAATGAGATGGAAGTAGTGCTAGTTTTTCACTTTCATTACATATAATATATACAGTATCATTTTTCAGCACGATACAAACAATATTTATATACCACACAATCAAAAAATCCGATAACTCTGATTTTCCAGTGACTTTACGGCGAATTTCTTATTATTCTCATACATCAATTTTTTTGATGCATTGACAAAGTAAAGTTGAAAAATCTATGGTAACTATAGTAATATTTATGTCCATTAGTTCTACTTCGGTAATATTTATGAAAAAATCTCTACTTTTTTGACCGGGTAGCGGGGCACAAATTTTATCTTAAGTACTAATCTTAAACTTTGGGGTCGGAAGCGGGAGCACTTGCCTCCCGGGACCCCCTAGGTCCTCCACTGCCAAACACCCTCTAAATAAGTCTTGTTTAGGAAATAAAACGTATTTAAACTTATTTTAAAACTTTGTATATGTATTGATCCAATACATTGAGCAATTTATATAGAAAGAGAAAAACTTGGGTAAAGATGGTCCTTGTTAGACAGGTTTTTTTTTGCCCTGCCTATTCATAATCTTCTACCGCAAGTACTGAAAGTGCTTTAAATACGATATAGAAAAAACATCCCACCAGTAGCAAGTTCGGCAAAATAGAAAAAAAGACAAGAAGAGAATACTAAATGGTTTACAAAGTAGAGAAATCGAACTCATCTACTATATTGATGACAGCCTTTGGTGAGGATTTAGGATAACTGCGCAAGCTTTGTTCTATCTTGTCAAAGTAATCTGTGTCATAATGATAAACATATATTTCCATCTCTTCCAATACCGGTGTCCTCTTAAGAAGGATCTGGGCCAACGTGAGCAATGGTTCACCATTACGATATTGATCTGCCAAGTTAATCAATTTGATCGTCTTCAACTGCAATAAGTCGCAAACCAAAATATCCTTTGCAGGAGGGGCCCAGACGTAGTCCGACTACAAATCATAGCAAATTTAAGACAAGCCTTAATCATACACAGATTTTATCATAAAACATTACAAGTGCAGAGCATATAATATATATGGAAATTACTCCAAATAGGAGTAAAGCTATGGCCAAAATTCAAAATATATAGGACTTGTTATGTTTTTATTCCAAAATAGAACCATATTACTCCTATTGAAAACATCATTCCATTCTTACCCCTCCTTTTAATATGGGTAAAAGGTAGTCAAAAATCATAACTAAATGGTTATTTCATAATAAATTGGAAAAAATCGTAGAAAAATATTTTTTTTTAATTTTTTTAATTAGATGCCTTTCCCACTGCTTGTACTGCCTCCCTGCACAACCACCTCCGACCGGTGTAAAAAATGTCATTTTTTTAAATGCCAAAAAAATGACATATTACTCTTTGAGAATGCCAAAATTTTCATTGAACCTGCCATAAATATGACATTCGTAATGGATGCGGCATTTTTTCCCCTGGTGATGGTGCTGGGGCAGTAGAGGCGGCGGTGATTTCTTTTTTTAGGTTTCTTTTATTTTTATTTTTTATTTTTTTTTAAAAAATTAATTATTACTCCCTCCGTCCCGAAATTAACTTCCCACTTTCCTTTTCGGGCAGTCCCAAAATTAACTTCCCACATCCTTATTTGGCAAATTATCTATATCAAAACAGTGCCAAACAGTATCGAAACAGTGTCGAAACAGTAAAATTTACCCCCAGTAAATTTATTTCCTTAATATGTGTTAAAATGAAGTGCGAAGTTGTTTACGGAACGGAGGGAGTATTATTTAAATATTTTTATTAATATTTTAGTATTTTTTATGAATTATTATTATTATTTATTATGAATTAAAAATTTGGTCCTATCAAAAAATTGTTTACTTTTTGGTCCTATTTGTGCAAAGTGACCAGCTTTTACTCCAATTTTAACAATTAACCCTATAATATAATTACCTGAAACCAGATCAGATAAATATTCATATTTCAAACCAAAAATCACGATGTCAATCATTAATTAATACTTACAAAAGAGGGGAGATCAGATGCTATGATCAATGTCTCAATGTCCGGAGAAGATTCCAGCAGACCCAAAATGCCAGGTATGGAAGCAAAATCATCACATGACAATATTATTTTCAGCCACCTTAGCGTATATATTGGAAACCGCCAACCAGTAAGCATCAGCCCAGCTAGAGCCTAGTTTTAATTATTGTATACATAGAAATAGTTTTCACTTGCCTCTTTCGGGCTGCGGACATCACAAATCAAGGATCCTATTTCCCTCTTAGGAAATAATTAACTCTCTAAATGGCAATTTTATCATCCAATAGTAAGATTAACAATACCCATAAGGCCATAACGAAATCATTACCATCAATTAGCTTATGATAATATATACCCGCCAACACTTTTTCAAATTATACTCAACTTGCATTATATAATTATTGCCTAAAAAGCGTGACATTTTAATGGGAACCTCGAAACAAGATGGAGGTAGTACAAGATGAGATAGATCTCCATTTATGTATCTAGCTGACACCGAAAATAACATTTGAATATTAATCTATTCCTCACGTATCAATGTTTGACTAGCTATCTTCCAATATTTCCACAACATTTCAATTTAGTACGCAAAAGATCAACTTATCGCATTAAAATAAATGATTTTTGTTGTTAGTAGACAGATTAATAACATTTTAAATAACACTTATATTGTAACTCTTTAAATCATCACCTTAACAGTAACAAAGACTATCACTCAGGTTGTGAAGTTATTAAGAGATGTGAGAACAAATACTAAGATAACTCATGAAACTTTATTCTCCCTAAGTCACTTCTACATTGCTGTCAAACCAACAACCAGTTAGTTTATTGCAACTCTTGTTTGGAAACATGTAACAAATCTATGACACACTCATAATGGTACTGAATTCTTTGATAATAAAAATTTACTCTCTCAAAATTTACATGCATGCATAATCTTTATTGACATGCATTTTTTTAATATGGGTAGGGGCAAGTCTTTTACTACCATATACAAAAAGTATCCTTTCGTGCATAAATGTTATTTCCTGCTATACATAAGTATCTATCTTTCATGCATTAAATGTTGAGTAGGGTCAAGTCTTTTGCTGCAATAAGATGTTGGCTACTTGGCTATACATAATGTTGTCTTCTGAACCCGTTTTCCTCATTTAAATGTATTTCCTCTCATAAGTCTAAGCAGGAAATATCAGTATAACCCCATGTTTGTAGAAGAATGACAACACAGGAGGTTCATAATCGGGTCTACTTTTGAAAACAATGAGCAGCCTTAAATTTCAGAGGTAATACTTTATTTGGAGATATAGATATCCACATATCCAATGAACTATCGCATTCATAGATGAATTCCATACAGACATTTCTTAAAAGCTCGTCTGGAAGATCATTTGAATTTTAATTTTCAAAACACAAGAATGTCAAAGCAGCTAGAAGAATCATACACACCTTAATGGGTCCAGGCCCCAAAGCAAGCTCCTTGACATGCTCAATCTTTTCAAAAACTTGCTTCGCATTACTCACATCCTCGGAGGTTAAATGCCCCCATGGATCGGAATAACAAAAACTAGCACTAACAAGGGATGGAATGTTTTTGAGCTTTAACTGTCTTCGTATAGGAGACAACTGAAGATTTAAATCTTTTAGATTGGGTGCTGAAATTTGAAAGAAAGGTTTACTTCCTTCTTCTTCTTCTTCAGATTCCAACACCCGCACCTTACAGAGATTTTTAGAGTTGGTCTCCAAACAAGTGAATCCATGGCACATACTCAGATCCAAGGAACTCAAAACAGGACAGCCTGATAATATCTTTTCCACTACAGACTGAGGCAAATTCACTCTTGATATACGTAATTCAGTCAAAGACGGCCACTCGATTGTTCTTTTAGGATCCAAAATGCAAGCATCCAAATACAATGATGTAAACGATAAATTATAATACATCATTTCACGAAGAGTGTAGAAATCTCTGCTTAAGCAAAAATACAAAGAGACTTCTTTCACCTTATTTTTTATGGCAAACTCCAGCCAGTTATCAACATCCGGAGCAAAGCAATCCTCGTACTCGAAAGCAACCTTCAACTTCTCAAGATAATTTCCACGACGAGTAGCGATGATGCTATTAACCCAAGCCACAAAGTCAGTTTTAGTCTTAGTTAGCTTACCTGTACCCGGCTCATAGATTCGAAATTCAAGGCTCGGCAATTCAGCCCAAAGAAACTGCCATCTTTTGGCCAAAATACTTGTAGCAGCAGCTTTCTTCAAACCCAGAAAAGATATGATGTGAACAAGTAAGCAATCAGGTAATGCACTGATCCTATCCGTTGAATCCCTAATTCGACTACTTTCCCTAACATTTTCCTGAGAATAAAATTCTAGACTTTCAGCTCCAATTTCTAGACTTTCTCCTCCAGATTCATGAGTTTCTTTCGCTAAACTATTTTCACTCATCGAGATGAATCAGGTGATAAAATACAAAGATGAACTGTGCGAGTGCAGATGACTGGCCGTATCAAAGCAAGCGACTCCGTTGCCCCGCTGGTCAATAACTTTCTCGATGCGTCTTCAGAGAGAAGAATCTATCCTGGCCACCTACTAATCTCACTACATGCCGGTGATTTTAGTATCACCGGGTTCATTTTAGTGTAATGGATTTTACAGATTACCAATGGAGTTCAAGTTTAATTTTAGACAAGTTAGGAGGTGTGGAGCGCACACTTGTACGAAATTAAATTTAAACTTGGTTCGATTAAATGGCGGGGGTCAAGGGGGCTGCGCCCCCTTGCGGGGTCCAAGGGGTAGCGCCCCGGTTTTAATATTTTATTTTATTAAAGAAATAAATATGGAAATTTATTTTCGGATAAACATGTCCATGTTAATTATTTAATAGAATGACTTTCTGTTAGAGTAAAACTCTAACTGATTGTCCTTATCTCTTTGGTAATCAGAAGAATTCGAGTTCTACTAAAACTGCTAGTTCGTGGTCTATATATTGATGCCTCAGTTTTAGACTGTCTCTCAGAGTGATTATTCCCATAATCTAAATTTCGTGTAACCCAGGCATAGGGTCGAAATATTAGATTCGGAAAGTGATCACACGATACTATGAGAAATCCGCCAGATTTTCTAAAACAGTTTCCCAACTACCCAGTTATAACATACCATCCTCGGGTGGGGCTCCTGGAGTGAGACACTCCAGGTTATTGCCCTTTTCAATTACTGCTACGTGCACCAATTTTCTTTCTCAATTGGACAGTTTTCTCTTTTGCGTCACGCGCTAACGATGAAACAATGGCTTAAACAAAAAGAAATTGTCCTAAAAATAAGTAAAATCGTGATTTATTTTTATTTGCTTAAATATAAGTGATATTAGTCTCACGTTTTGGCATTACCAGGTTTGAAATGTGGAAACAGTTTCTAAGCTTGACAATGATTATATTTATTTATAGTATAAAAACATTGGATATCTATTTTGGAATCGTGTTTTTTACTCATATTTAGGGAATTTTGTCTAAAATATATGCTCCACAATTATTGGAGTCCATGTATTTTTCCTACGTACGTATCTTTTGGTTGTCATGTATTTTCTACACATTTATGTATTATTATTGTCATGTACTTTAAGTGGGGTTAGTATTTGCATGAGAAATGCAGATGATCTCTCTCTCCTATATATGCGCATAGCGGAGATGTATAACACGTTAAGGAGAATTCATCCACCATTATTGAGTTTCTTCTTCCAGTGTGATATTATAGTTTCACTCCCATAATATTATTTTTATCATGGTATAAGAGCCGAAATTTTGGAATTAAAAAAAAAGTTCTTGATTATCTCCTATTTCTTTGAGCTATGGTGATTTGTGATACCACCATTAAGAAGAGTTGTGAAGTTATGTGTTCTTCTTCTTCTGGTAGTTCTCAAGTAAATATTGCATACACACTGCCAAATGATCGTCCTTGGATTATTGATTCTGGAGCTACTGAGCATATCACTTGTAGTGATATGTATCTTTTTACTATCACCAGACACATATTAGAATCATCCGTCAAAATTCCTAATGGCGAATCAATTCTGGTACATGCTGTCGGAGGCTTATACTTGCCTAATTGACTCTGGCTCGAACGTGTTCTATACATTCCAAAATTTCAATGCAATCTACTTTCAGTTAGTCGCTTAACAAGCGATCTAAATTGTACACTCATATTCTTCTCAGACTTCTGTGTTTTACAGAATGTATACTCGAGGAAACTAATTGGCGTGGGTAAATTGTGTGATGGTGGTCTCTACTACTTGGAGCCTCCTAGAAGTGAAGGGGTGGCAATGTCAGTATCGATTAGACCAGATTTATGGCATCAACGTTTGAGACATGCATCTGATGGAACATTACACCACATTAGTTCTCTCAAGGGATTTCGACGAAGCAATAGTTTTTGTGATCCCTGCATTCGAGCTAAGCAGACTAGATTACCTTTTCCTACAAGTTCCATTAAGACAACTCGATGTTTTGAGTTGATACATTGTGACATCTGGGGAGACTATAGATGTGATTCAATCTCCGGTGCAAGGTACTTGTTATCTATTGTTGATGATTTTACCAGTGGTGTATGGGTTTATTTGATGAAAAATAAATCGGAAGTTTCTCAATTTATTATGCAATTTTGCAATATGGTTGAAACCCAATTTGAGCAAAAAGTCAAAAGGATACGGGCTGATAATGGTGTGAAATTTCATACCAACAGTTTATTTGATTATTATGGGCGCAATGGAATATTATTGGAAACGTCATGCACAGACATGCCACAACAAAATGGGGTTGTTGAGCGTAAGCATAGACACATTGGAAATTGCTAGAGCACTGCGTTTCCAGTCTGGGTTACCTATTGATTTTTGGGGAGAGTGCATATTAACAGTTGTTTATATTATTAATAGACTTCCCTCACCCATCATTTCTAACAAAAGTCCTTTCGAGATGCTGTTTGGGAAAGGGCCTAGCTATGATCATATGCGTGTATTTGGGTGTTTAGTGTACGCCCATTATAATAAAAGAAAAGATAAATTCGGTGAAAGGGGAGGAGTCCTTGCATATTTATTGGCTATCCGTATGGTCAAAAGGCTTATCGTGTTTTCGATTTGCAAAAACATAGTGTCTATAGCTCTCGGGATGTAATATTTTATGAGGAAAAATTCCCATTTAAAATCAATTTTGATCAAAAGCTTGATTTTCCATCCCTCGTGGAAAAGGTATACAATCACACGGTGAATAACGAGCATCTTACACCGCAACATAATAATCCATCAAGCAATTTTCTCCCTCAGCCGATTATTACTAGCGGACAATACACTGGACAGAGTACTCATAGTCCCACTCAAGCACCAACGAACCAGTTGCTGCCAACTCATCACTTTCCTGGACAACTACAGTTGGATTGACAAAATGACTCCAGGGCGGCAGACTTAAACCAGCAGCTGCGTGTTGATTTTGACCTTCCAACTAGTGGGCAGCTGCAAATGGGTCACGTATCTAGACAAAAACAGTCTGCTACACATGAATCATCGTCTCGGCTTCACATGGAAAACAGCCCCACACCAGCTACATCAACATGTTGGGTGTGTCTCGGAAAAACGAAGAAATATTAATTAATAAAATTAATTAATTAATTAATTAGCCAAAGAAAAACAAAAAAAGAGATGGGACAGAGTTTAGCCAGAGCTCGTGCTATGCACGATGTCCTTAAAACGTATTTGTCGCCTCCCACGGTGCTAGGAGCGTTGCAACGACCGTTTCCCAGGATACGGTGGCTAACGAACTAACGTTTGAGCACACAAAAGAGAGTTCCAGCGAACGAGAACAAAGGCAGAACACTCAGAAATTTTCGGAGTAGCTGGAAGTGTTTTAGAGGTCAAAAATACGTGCAGATAGTGTATGATTGCATGTGTTGTTGCAAAGCACCTGCCAGCTATTTATAGGAGGATTTGTTGTGTGTTAAATGGGGTGTTAATGGACCTGAACGTTGGACATCAATTACCAGACCATTGGGCATTGAATCATCCATAAACTGTCCATTTAACGCTGCATTAAAAGACAAGAACGTTGGACATTTAATGGCTGTAACGGCTTGGAGCAGTTCTGGTGCGCGACCTGAATACCCCCATCAGAGTTGGAGCAACTCTGATGCTACCAGAATACCTCCACCAAAATTGGAGCAACTCTGATGCAAAGCCAGTAGAGGACCCCCATCAGAGTTGGAGCATCTCTGGTACGAAGCCACCAGAGTTCGAACAGTTCTGTCTGAGCACCTCTTGTCCTGGGGAAAATAAAATGTTACGGGAAGAAACAAAAATTAGACCGTAGTCATCTTCATGACCACCTTGCCCACGCCTTCAACCGCGGAATGAGCCGAGTTTCCCATCCACACCTTCTCACCATTTGTTGGCTCAAAAGTAGTGAATAACTCCCGGTTTGAGCAAATATGCCGGGTTGCACCGGTGTCCACGAACCACTCCTTGGAATTGGATCCAACGAGGTTGACCTCGGTCACCACAGCCGCAAGGATGATGTCTTCATCCTTTTGCCCACCTTGCACCAAGTTGACTTGAGAGTCCCTCTTCTTCTTGGGTGCCTTGCAATCCGCGGACTTGTGTCCATTTTTATTGCAATTGAAGCATTTTCCGTTGAACTTTATCTTGGAAACGCCTCCCTTGGGACCGAGCTTGCTCTTTCCATTATTTTTGGTTTTGGAGCCCTTTGCATGCTCCACCACGTTTGCCTTGGCGCTGGTAACGATTGGGAGTTTCTCATCGGTCTTCCGGTTATCCTCTTCAATCCGCAGACGGAGGATCAATTGCTCCAAGTTCATTTCCTTTCGCTTATGCTTAAGGTAGTTTTTGAAATCCTTCCAAGCCGGCGGCAATAAATGGATAATTGATGCCACTTAGAAAGACTCACTAACTATCATTCTTTCATCTCGAATTTCGTTGAAGATCATTTGCATTTCTTCAACTTGACTCAAGACCGTCTTCGAATCCATCATTTTAAAATCAAGGAATCGGCCTACAACAAATTTCTTTGCATCGGCATCCTCGTTTTTATATTTGTGGTCCAAAGCATTCCATAGCTCCTTAGCCGTAGCTAATTTTCTATAAACGTCGTACAAAGCATCATGCAGCCCGTTCAACACATAGTTTCGGCAAAGGAAGTCATAATGCTTCCAAGCTTCAACGGCGTTGAAAGATTGCGCATCCACCTCACCCCCGATTGCTACCGGCGCATCTTCGGTCAAGAACCTAGCAAGATCGAGAGTAGTGAGGTAAAATAGCATCTTTTGATGCCACCTCTTGAAGTTTAACCCATTAAATTTTTCGGGTTTCTCCACAGAGTTGCTCGACACGGTAACCATAGGGATTGCCCCTTGGTTGCCCAAAGTAGATGCTCCGCGTTGTGAACCATTGTTCACAGAAGCTCCACTTTCAGAGTGAGTGTCATTTCGCACGTTCTGCCCACCAACATTTCCATGTTCTTGTGAAGCCATTTTAACGTTTTCTTACGTTTTCCGAAAACACAAAAATAAGTTCGTTCACCAAAGTGACAAACTACGATTTTAAGATTGTTTACCTCAGTAGAACAATCACGGAATACGTTTTAAGATTGTTTACCACAGTAACACAATCACGAATACGTTTTAAGATTGTTGGGTGTGTCTCGAAAAAACGAAGAAATATTAATTAATAAAAATAATTAATTAATTTAAATAGCTAAAGAAAACCAGAAATAAGATGGAACAGAGTTTAGCCAGAGCTCGTGCTACGCATGATGTCCTTAAAATGTATTCGTCGCCTCCCACGGTGCTAGGAGCGTTGCAACGACCATTTCCCAGGATACGATGGCTAACGAACTAACGTTTGAGCATACAAACGAGAGTTCCGGTGAACGGGAACAAAGTAGAGCAGTCATGAATTTTTTCAGAGTAGGTGGAAGTGTTTTACAACTCAAAATATGTGCAGATAGTGTATGGTTGTTGCAAGTACCTGTCAGCTATTTATAGGAGGATTTGTTGTGTGTTAAATGGGGTGTTAATGGACGTGAACGTTGGACATCAATAACAAGTCCGTTCGGCATTGAATCGTCCATAAACTGTCCATGTAACGATGCATTAAAAGACAAGAACGTTGGGCATTTATTGTTGTAACGGCTTGGAGCAGCTCTGGTGCGCGACCAGAATACCCCTTTCCAACTCTGATGCTACCAGAATACATCCACCAGAGTTTGAGCAGCTCTGATGCGAAGCCAGCAGAGGACCCTCACCAGAGTTGGAGCATCTCTTGTACGAAGCCACCAGAGTTCGAGCATCATATCTTTGAATGATAGATTTTCGGACGACATTCGTGTCCGCATGTCGCCCGCGCACACGAGTCACGGTTTTTCTTCTCCGTTTCGGGATTTGATCGGCACCCCCCTGCGCGTAAGAGAGAGCTTTTACCTTTAGGAATCTTAACTCCTTATAAGAGGCTTCCCTTTATAAGGGGGTGAAAATCCTTTGAATTTTCCGGTGTGGTATAAAACACACTAGAAACCCATCATTTTCCCTGTTTTTCCATTTCAACGAGTGAACTTCGAGAATCAATTTCTCATTCACCCGTTATCCGTTTTGAGCGTACCATATATCAAATTGTAGCCCTTAACAAGGAAAATCCGAAACCACTTTGATCCGACCCAAATCGGAAGTGGACCCCACTCAAATAATTGCCCCAAAATGATCATTTAATGCAATTTTTAACACATTTTTCCAACACAACAAACATAACTTCAAATTCATCGCCTGAGGAGCAACTGTCCTACATCAATCCACTGCAGCGGCTTTCTTTTGCTTCTCTTATGCATAAATCCGCAAGCCATGGTCCCACATCTGACAATATTGACATATTGACGGGCTGCAAGTTGAGGATCCCATCCCGGCTATTGTCCAGTCACCTAGCCAGCTGCCCTTTGACGTGTCTTCACAAGGCACACATCCCACGGGTCCATCTCTGAATCCTTCAAACATTGCACCTCCTTGGGAACTAAAAAGGGGTGATCGGAACCGCCGAATGCCTAAATACCTTGATCATTATGAGACTGATTTGCCACCATCCCTTGATCACTCACGGTCTACTACCAACACGGCAAACTCAACAGTTCACCCTATTTCGAAATACATTAATTATGAAAAATTTTCATGTACTCATAAAGCATATTTAGCCGCCATCACTTCTCGTGATGAGCCTAAATATTTTTCACAGGTTGTGCGAGATCCTTTATGGAGAGATGCCATGCAAAAGGAGATAAAGGCATTGGAAGAAAATAATACTTGGGTTCTAGCCTCATTACCACGGGGAAAAAAGGCAGTTGATTCAAAGTGGGTTTATAAAATTAAATATAAATCCAACGGCGATGTGGAGCGGTACAAGGCTAGACTAGTAGCCAAGGGATTTACGCAAGTAGAAGGAGTTGATTTTCATGAAACATTTGCACCGGTGGCCAAACTTGTTACGGTACGGTGTTTGTTGGCCGTTGTTGCCAAACGAGATTGGACAGTTCACCAATTAGACGTAAACAACGTCTATCTTTACGGTGACCTCTCTGAAGACGTCTACATGTGTCTACCACAGGGATTTGCTAAAAAGGGTGATACTCGAGTTTGCAAGTTGCAAAAATCTCTATATGGACTCCGACAAGCTTCTCGTAATTGGTACCATAAATTCACTCAAGCATTGATCAGAATCGGTTTTCGTCAATCTCATGCAAATCACTCTCTTTTTATCTTTCAGAAGGGACTTGTCCAAACTTTTGCTCTCACCTACGTGGATGATGTTATCTTGGCCGGAAATGATTCTTCTCACATTGACACTGTCAAACATTATTTAGATACCAACTTTAGCATCAAAGACTTGGGAAAGCTTTAATATTTTTTTGGAATTGAGGTTGCCCGCTCTCTTGAAGGTTTCGTTTTAAGCCAACGAAAATATACTCTTGACATCATAGGAGAAAGTGATAATCTTGCTGGCCATCCTAGTTTGTTGCCGATGGAACAAAACTTAAAACTCCGCCCTGATGATGGTAGTCCGCTCGTAGATGCCCCTTCCTATCGAAGATTAATTGGGCGTCTCCTATATCTCACTGTGACTCGTCCAAATATAGTCTACTCAGTTAGCCAGCTCAGTCAATTTATTGGCGCCCCCCGACAATCACACTTTGATGCAGCTATTCATGTCCTTCGGTACTTAAAATCCACACCTGGTCAAGGTATATTTTTATCTTCCGACGATAACTTCACCTTGACCGGATATTGTGACGCTGATTGGGTAGGATGCTCCTTTACTCGTCGATCTAGCACTGGTTATTTAATCACTCTTGGAGCTTCACCCATATCATGGCGGACAAAGAAACAATTTGTCGTCTCTCGTTCTTCCGCTGAAGCAGAGTACCGTGCCATGGCAGTCACTGTTAGTGAGATTTTATGGTTATGTTGGTTACTACGAGATCTTACAATTCATCAAAAGGGCCCAACGTTGCTTTATTGTGACAACCAAGCAGCGCGGCACATTGCGCTCAATCCGGGTTTTCACGAGCGTACCAAACATGTCGAAATGGATTGTCACTTTGTACGAGAACGAGTTGCTAGTAACGAAATCCAACCACAATACATATCCACGACAAATCAAGTGGCCGACATATTCACAAAAGCACTTGGAACAGACCGCTTTCATTTCCTTCGTAGCAAGTTGGGTGTTCGTGACATACACACTCCATCTTGAGGGGGAGTATTGGAGTCCATGTATTTTTCCTACGTACGTATCTTTTGGTTGTCATGTATTTTCTACACATTTATGTATTATTATTGTCATGTACTTTAGGTGGGGTTAGTATTTGCATGGGAAATGCAGATGACCTCTCTCTCCTATATATTCGCATAGCGCACATATGATGTATAACACGTGGAGAATTCCTCCACCATTATTGAGTTTCTTCTTCCAGTGTGATATTATAGTTTCACTCCCATAATATTATTTTTATCAACAATTACTACGTAATGCGTATAAATGTATGCTCTTCATTGTTTTCTTTTTTTTTTAAATTATACTAGTACTGTATATGGCATGGAATCAATTTTTTATCGGTATAATACAATTGCTCACATTTAAAAAGTTAACAATCCAATTTATTATAATTTTTGTTTCTTAAGTAAGTGTACCCATACCAAATGAGTTGAACATTTTCTTCATTAAGTCTAGTTTAGACATACCAAATTTTAGATAAAAATTCAACCGGAAAGACAGTCAAATAATTTTCTGAAAAGTACTGCGATGTTTATCTGTGCAGTTGTCTTCAAGGGTTCAAAACTGTTTACACATTTGCTTTGCAAAAAACTCTTCTTTTGTAATTCATTATATCCAAATTTTATTTTCTTCTTTTTTTCATGCTCATTTGTGTCTAAATACAATCAAAAGTACCTTGAAATGAAGGCGTAAGACCGTACTAATACAAAATAGCGATAAATGATACAAATATGTTTGAACATATAATTTTCATAAATAAAAATATCAACAAAGTAAGCCTAAAATGTGTGTAAAATATAAGCACATCAAATCCTTCACACTTAGACTTTTGTTTGTCCTCAAGCAAAATGCCAAAATAAACAACAAATACAAAAATATACACATTTGATAAAATTAACAAACATAACTAAACAAATCACACAAGCACCTTTTATGTTCGCTAAATGGTCCACTACCCACAAAATGTCACAAATTAACAGAATGGTAGTACACTAAATATTAATGTCTATCACTAAAGTTTTCAAATCAGTCTTTTAACACAAACACCTGTAGTTCTAAACTAGCTAGTCCGGCTTATGCAAAACAAGTTTTTCCAATCAAGTTAATTCAAAAATGACACAAATAGATCGAATAGGACTTTTATTTGGGTTTGACGAGGTTAATGATTGTGGTTAGTTGAAAGAAAGGTTTGGCGAAAGAATATACAAAGAAAGTTAGATTGCACTTATATTGAGCAAATAATAGAAGAAATTTATAATAATTTGGAGCATAGAAAACAATGAATATATAGACAATGAAAAGGATAAAGCATTGGGTTTTACAACAATAATTTAATGTGCCTTTGTTTATGATTTTTCCTTTTTCTTTCTTTTTGGTTTTTCTTTTTTGTTTTTTTTTTCATGTTTTTCTTCAAAGAAGGCACAAAGTCACAAACAACATTGAATAACTTACTCCAAAAGTTACAAACACACACACACTTAACTAATGTGACACTTGACAAAATCTCCATTTTTTATTCAGTTTCAAGTAACAAGACAGTCTACTCTACTTATTAAGTGAAAATAAAATTAACTTTGATTAGGATTTCACGAGGTTATGTACTCACAAGGTTATGTATTACACAAGGTTAAAGAAACATTAGTAACAAATGATGTGAGGTATTTTACACTTGTACAATGAAAACGTTCAAACGAAGGTTACTTGAGAAAGTTATTTTTAGAAAGGGATAATGTTTGGTTGGATTCATAGGTAAACAAATATGGCCTAAATCATTTATAAATGTGTCAAGCTCAAATAAAATTTCAAGGGGAATAAATGCATAAACATCTTAGGCTACATAAAATTGAGTAATTCAGCTATTAAAACAACAAATTGGAAAAAATATAATATAATGTATCTAATGTAAAATTATTAAGCATCAAGTCCAAATCTCATAGTACGTTACTCTAAAAAATTATAGCGACACTTCTCAAAGTCAAACCACAATTCATCAAAACATGTGAATGAATAATTTAAAAATATGTAGGTAACTAGGTCACAAAAAATGTAATTATAAGCAAATGATATCTTTGTCTATTGTTGCATTTTGGATCAGCTCTGGTCCTATAATCACAAGCAAAACACAGAAAATATAAATTAAAATAAAATCACACAAACACGCAAGTACAAAAAACATACAAGAAATCAGGGTCGAACTACCTACTCCACCACCATCTTCAGCAATCACCCATCACCTCTTAAAATTTGAAGGACTCCCACCCACTGACCCACATATAGAGAAACAAGAAAAAGAGAGTGAAAACAAAAAGAATGGGAAACCTGTGGAGTCGGCGTTCACAGTATGGATGCAACAAGGGTGGAGGCGCCAATCTAGAGATAGGCAGAGAGACGAGAGATCTCACTTGGAGATAGACCGGGGAGAATGGAAGAGAAGCAGATCGAGTGGATGAAGGGGACAGAGAAGAGAAGCAGAGCTACAGAGTGGATGAAGCCATGAAGGCTGAGGTAATCTTGAGTTTTCAGTTGGATAAGATATCTTTATTGTTCAAATGCAAGCATAGTTACATATTTGTCTACTCTAAACTCACGAGTATTATTTTTCAGTCTTTCAATAGAAAAACTAAATATAAATAAAACAAATATTGATAAATAAGGATGTTTTTACTTGGATTGTTTTCAATCCTAGATCAAACGAGATTAGACTTAGACATTTATAAAATACACATTTATAAAATACACATTGACCAGACATTTACAAGACCAGGCCAAAAAATTCAATCCAAGTAAAAACACCCTTAGTTCCGGCCCGGCCCGCTACTGTGCGGACCCGAACCGGACCGGGACCGGTTGTCCGGTTCCGAGCTTTTAGCCCGTTTGGGCGGGTCGGGCGGGCCGGGCTCGAGCCCAATTTTGGGCGAACCGGCCCGAGCGGTTCGGGCCGGACCCGGGTCATTTTTTTTTTCAATTTTTTTTCTTTTCCTAGGGTAGGGCTTGGTGTTTTGGGGAGGTTTGGGGGTGGGGGTGGGGGAGTCGGGGGATAACAAGAAAGCAAAAAAAAAAAATAGACATTGAACCGGCCCCGGCCCGGCCTGGCCCGGCCTGGCCCGGTTAGGCCCGGACCCGATATCAACCCAGGCCGGTTCCGGGCCCAAGGATTTGCAAACAAAGCCCGCCCGGGTCCGGCCCGGAACCGAAACCGGACCGGCCCGGGTCCATCCCTACTTAGTATTCATCCATCTCAAAGATTAATGATAATATATTGCAAGACCAAAACAATTATGGGTTATTTATAGATATATGTACGAGATTACCGTGTCTAGTGAAAGGTCTCGAATTCGAAACCCACTAGGCGCCTAGGCACATAAGGGTTTGAAACTCAATGGAGCGAGTTTCAACTCTGCTTACTCCAAACCCACCAGCCCCCTCCTCCAAACGCCCCCTGGAGTAAAAAAAATCTATAAAATATTTTTAAAAAATATATTGTGAAATTATATATACGCGGCAGGGTAGGTTGAGGGCTTGAGGCAAGTAGGATTGCATGTACAAACTAATTTGAATGACAGGGCGGGGAGGCACATACTCCGTAATATTTTGGGGAAGGGCAAGTCCTTACTGGAAAGGTTTTTTTGCCATGCCTATTCATAAATCATAATCTGCTACCAAACCTTGTACCATCGTCAAATGTTTAAAGTGCAATGACTCACCAGTTACATCTCAAACAAGCTAGTAGTGGCAAATTAGGCAAAATAGGGGGAGAAGTAGAGTAGCTATAATAGATATTCTACATAGTTTAGAAAATGAACATATAAAAGCCATCAATTTAATACAGATCGATGACAGCCTTTGGTGAGGATCGGGGGTAACTCAGCAAGGTTTGTCCTATCTTGATAAAGACATCTGCATCTTCAATGTTAACATATACGTCCATCTCTTCTAATACTGGTGTCCTCTTAAGAAGAATTCGAGCCAATGTAAGCATTGGTTCACCGTCAAGTTCTGGATCTACCAGCTTAATCATTTTGATCGTCTTCAGATGCAATAAGTCGCAATACAAATCATCCTTCGCAGGTGGGGCCCAGTTACTGTCCAACTAGAATCACAACATATTTTGGACAAACTTATATTTAATAATGTGGAGTAAAGACATAATTTATTTATCAATTATCATAAATTGTAACAAGTACAGAGTATATACGGAGTATATTAATTACCTCAAACAAAATTAAACAAATATTCATACCAAAAATCAAGACTTGAACAGTTAACACTTACATCTTCGGGTTCATAAGAATCTATGACCAATGTCTCAATGTCTGGAGAGGATTCTAGCACGTTTAAAATGCCAGGAATGATTTGCCCAGCATCACATAACATATCTATTTTCAAGCACCTTAGCTTATATTTTGGAAGCTGCCAACCATTAAGCACCAACGCAGCTAGAGCCTAGTTTACAAGTTGCACAAAAAACACATATACTATAGTTATATGCTTTGTATTTTACGAAGAATTCAATACGCAACATAAGTAGATCAATGTGCATATGTTCAACACAAGAAAATGGCTGTAAAATAAGGGGTTGGTTCAGTTTTGACCCAAAATTAAAAAAAACGAAATCAAAGTAAAAAGTTTGATTCAATATATAGTGTTGTGTATAAAAAGGGAAGTTAAAAAAATTGTTGTGTTTAAAAGTTATGTACTTATTCTTCTTTTTTATTTAATCAAACGAAAAACTTTTTTGTTTGGTGGTATCTTTACAGAAAACTTGTTCTAGACAAGAGTATATATGTTGATTATGTTCTTAATTTATTTATTTTTTAATTTAGTTTGAAAAAGGTTTATGAAAATATATGTTTTATGAGGTATAGTTGAAAATATTTATTAGTTCTCACAATACAAAAACTTTAGGATACAAAAAAACGTACTACAAATAAGCAGCAAAGATACACCACCATTATGAAACAAACTACAAAAGTACAAAACGCATAAATAAAAAATCGATATATCAATATAGTTTTATTATAGTAGTGAATGAAAGTGTAAATGAATATTTTAAACTAAATTAAACAATAAATATAACACCACAAATTAATTTGTTTGTATTAGAAAATCAAAAGCTAACAACAATATTATAATTAATGCGTAATGGTCGACAAAGAAAATTTCATAATTTAAAAGTTTGGTTTGGCTTGAAAGGACTAAACTGAAAACGAACCAAATAATTACGGTTCGTTTACTAGCAGTAGGTAATGGTTCGTTTTTGTTTTGCGGTTTAGTTTATTTAGGTTGTGGTTCAGTTTACTTTCATTGAGTTTTCAGTTTCTTTGAATATTTATTTTCTTCCTCAACTATCTTCAAGAGTTTAAAGTTTAAACCACATTTCACTTCAATATGTGAATGATATGATAGGAGCAAAACAAATGATTTCTACTGTCAGCACTCAGCACACAAATTAGACTACCACCAACCCAGGATGTGAGGCTAGTAATGACTATAAGAGATAACTCAAGATACTTATTCTCCCAATGTTACATCCGTATTACTGGAAAACTAACAAGCTTGGTATCAATTACGTCACTTAATTGTAAATCTTTCTTGGAAACACCTAATACATCCATGACATTCCTCATGGTAATTCTATGATGATATATATCTTGTCTATCAAATATTACATGCATGCACACTTTTTAGAAGTTGGTTATGCACAATTCTTTTCTAAACTCGTTGTCCTCAACTAAAATGTATACTCTCCAGCTTTATACAAGAACTCAAGAAGTATATATAGATATATGAATACATCAATATATCAAATCACTTAAAGCCATGACTCCATGAGACTAGCGAACCAGATGTATTTGTCCACTTGATTTATCAACTGTATTATCATTATAACGACATGGTTGCATAAGAATAACAACTCTAGCAGGTTAATCGTAGTGTTTGCATTTGAAAACAATGACCAACAACCTAATGAATTTCGGAATTGACTACTTGTTGGAGGTATGAATATCTCACGAGACTAGCCCTATTGTGAGACAATATAAATTAATTCTACATTGACCTTTTTCATAAGTTTAGATAGATAATTTAAATTTCAATTTTTTAAACAAAAGAATGGTAAAAAGCTTGGAGCAGTAATACATACCTTTAGAGGTTCAGGACCCAAACCAAGCTCCTTGACATTGTAAATCTGTTCAAAAAATTCCTTTGTACTACGGAGCATATCCTCATGTAATATAAAATCCCAAGAATTATCAATAAAATCAAAATGAGCAGTGACAAGAGATGAGATGTCTCTAATCTTTATTTTCCTTCCTATAGGATCCAAGCAAAGATTCAAATATTTTATATATGGTGCTGAAATGTGCAGGGAAGACCCATTTATTTCAATTAAAGGGTCTGTTACCAGCAGTTTACATAGATTCTGAGAGTTAATCTCCAAACAAGTGAACCCCCAACACTCACTCAGATCCAAAGAAGTCAAAACAGGACAGCCTGACAATATATTTTCAACTATAGGCTGAGGCAAATTCACTCTTGATATCCCTAATTTAGTCAATGATGACCACTGGATTGTTCTCTCAGGGACCAAAATGCAATGATGCAAACATAATGATGTCAAGGATGAATTTGAATATATAATTTCACGAAGAATGTAGCAATCTTTGTTGTAGCCCATGTTCCAACGGAGTTCTTTCACCTTATTTGTCAAGGCAAACTGGAGCCAATTATCAACATCTTCAGCAAAGCAATCCTCAAACTTGAAATCAACTGTCATCTTCTCGAGATAATTTCCACGATGAGTAGATATGACCCCATTAACCCAAGCTACAAAGTCAATTGCATTCTTAGTTTCCTTACTCTCACCCCAACCATAGAATTCAAATCCAAGGTTACGCAATTCAGTCCAAAGAAACTGCCATCTTTTCCTCAAAATACTCGTAGCAACAGCTTCCTTCAGGCCCAAAAAAGATATGATGTGAACAAGTAAGCAATCCGGCAATGCACTGATCCTATCAATTGAAGTTCGACGGTTTTCCCTAACATTTTCCTGAGAATAAATTTCTAAACTTGCTCCAAATTCTTCTCCTTTGCCTAAATCACTTTCTCCGGATTCTTGGGTTTGAGTTTCTTCAGCTAAACTCTTTTCACTCATTGAGACGATGAAACACAATCACGAAGTACAAATATGAACTGTACGAATAGTAAAACACCGGTTACTGGTTACGCACCACTTACATAGCAATTCATCAAATCAGCAAGTCAACAAACTTACAAACCTTTTAAAGCTAAACAAATTCAGAAAAATAAATAATACTCCGTGAAATTTAAAAATTACCTCGCTGCCTCACATGGGAGTCACAGCCTCAGCACCACAGCGCTTGCATCGAGCAAGCAGCCTTCTCGCAACAAAAGCTCCGTGTAGAACTAAATTTACTCTAGGGCTAATAGCCGTTCATTTGTACGGAAGTATAACCTATGTTTAAGAAACCGTACACGGGAGGACCAGGCCTAGTGACCGGGTCACGGGTCGATCCGGATCCGGTCGGGTCAACTCGATTAAAGCTATAAATCGATCAAGGGAAAACTGTCAAATTTGTCCTTCTACTATACAAAAAAAGTCAATTAGTAGCTCGTACTTTAAATTCGATCAATTGAACCCTCCAACTAATAAAAAGCAGTCAATTGAGCAGTTCAACCGGTAAGGAACAAGTCTTCCGGTTAACCTGCCTGCGTGGAATGTCCAGATGGATATTTTTTTTTATTTTCTTTTTTTTTTCTTTTTATTTTTCTCTCTCTTTCTTCTTTCTTTTTTTGGTTTCTCGTTCTTTCTTCTCTAGCCTCCAGAGTCCAGACCCGTCCGTCTTCTCCCCCATTTCTGCATTTCGTTTTCTTTCTTTCTTTTTACTTTCTTTCTTTCTCCATGTCAATCGATCCACTCCGTTCCCTTACTTCTGCAGGTCTCCATCTTCGAGACTCCAAACATAGAAGGGGCTGGCCTGGGGGGTTTTGGTCCATCGAGGTAGGGGTGGGGAGGTGTGGGTATGGAGGTATATAGAGAAGGCAGAGATGGTGACTGGTGAGTATGGAAATAGGGGCGGCGGAGTGGTGGGTATGGAGGTAGGGCGGTGGAGGTGGTGGGTATGGAGGTAGGGGTGGGGGAGGTAGGGTGAAGGCAGTTGAAGTCGCCCGCCGGAGAAGGTGGAGGAAGTCACCCACCGGAGAAGGTGGAGGGGGTCATTTTCCTGCCGGAGAGGAAAGAACGGAAGAAAAAGAAATTGAGAAGGGAGGAAAAAAACGGGTCTGCGGGCTTGCTAAAAAAAGTCAAAGAGAAAGGAGAAAAAAAAAGAAAAAGAAAAAAAACAAAAAATCCATCTCGACATTCCACGTAGGCCGGTTAACCGGAAGACTTGTTCCTTACCGGTTGAACTGCTCAATTGACTGTTTTTTATTAGTTGGAGGGTTCAATTGATCGAATTTAAAGTACGAGGATCTAATTGACTTTTTTTGTATAGTAGAAGGACCAATTCGATAGTTTTCCCATCGATCAACCATTTAACAACAACAAACACATAATTGTATACAAAATTAAAATAAAAGGTAGTTATTTCATAATAATCAACTAATATTATGTTAAACACTTAAAAGTTAAAAAAGTCTCATAATATTTCAAAATATCGTTTTGATCTTATTAAAATATATAATGATACTCCAAATTTGTTACTTTTATTGGACATTTATTATATAATTTGACATGATTTTTATTCTTAAACAAATAAGTAGTATACAAATATATTGCATATTTTTTTCTTTTTAGATTATTGAAATTGCAATTTTATTGCTTAAAAATGCTTTAAAATTCAAAAAAAAAAAAAAAAGGAAAAGCAACCAAAACCAGGTTTTTCGGGTCCGCGTTTGAATCGGGGTTTGCCGGGTGAGCTGAGTTTTTCCGATTTTTTGTTATTTCCGGGTTTTTAATAAACTGAACCGGATTTCAGTTTGGGTCGCCGGATTTCGGTTCGGTCGATTTTGTAAACAGAGTATTATTGATAATTCATTCCTTTTTTAAAGAGATAATTGACTCTTTTAAGAAATCAATTAAACGGAGATTTTAACGTGGTGTTTGGAACTGATTCCGTGCTTCGTTTTTAAAGTAGAAGGAAAATCAGTTTTCAGATCTGATCTTGTTCAGTATCTAAGCAAACCACTTCTAGAAGTAAATTAGAGCACCAAAAGTACTTCTGTGCTTTCATCTAAACACTTCAAATTTTGTTTCCGCTCTGTGAAGTATGATAGTTAAAACCCTTTTGGTGACGCACTTTTTTCGGCTTATCAATCAACTTTTTCATTAAATTCGTACTTTTTGATTTCACGCCCTGAAATGTGTAATAATAATAAAAAGTGAGGTTGACTTTAAATTTTCTGACTATATTGATTGAAGTTACTGTAGAGAATCATTTTAGTTATTAATTCATATAATTTTTCTTTATTTTATTAATAAAATATATATCTTCAACGTAATTTCTTCATAAATCAGTAGAATCAGTCAATTCGTCCATTTCAGCTAAAACTTCTTAAATTTTTGCATAATCAATCAATTATGGTAATACCCAACGAGCTCTTAAGATACGAGCAGCTAACATGTCAAATGTGCTAGCTCAGAAAGCTGCATTTTGTTGTTGTGAGATTTACATGAGGGAGTGAGAATGGTTCCTAAAAACCGGATTCAAAGTCTCTTCTACATTTTTTTGTCAAAAATGAAAGTTAGACTAAAACTAATTCCAACCCATATTAATAAATCTAACTTCTCACCAATTTGTACGTATTCTTGTGTTAATGCAGTTTTTCTTACAATTGAGTATTATGAAGGCCTTTTTTAATAAATATTGTCAATAATCTCTCTCTCTAGACAAAAGCAGGAGAAACCAGGTCTCTTTTCCCTCCCAAAACCTTGCTCAATACTAGGTCGGGTCATTTTGTGCGGATTGTTTAATGGGTTGGGTATAAAGTACTGTGTTACAGTCTGTCTGGTCACATGTACTTCGAATTGATTTCTTTTAAGGCTCAATGGATGCATTTAATGCTCTGTGATTCAATAAGATACGTTTGGTGGCTCAAGAAAGAGCATCTATTGCAATGTATAGAGATATCTTCGAGAACTCTGCTTGCAATTGTACTATTTAATATTTTTATAGTCTACAACACAGCTACTGAGATTTCAACCAAGAGTTTAAAATAAGTCTGTTGCATACATTAATAGAGCATTAAATGCTTAGTACGAAAATATCTTCTAAGAGATTGAGATAAGTTCTTAGAGCATTAAATGCTGAGTACGAAAATAACTTCTAAGAGATTGAGTTGAGGTTAATACCCAATGGACAAAGCAGACTCAACTGAGAGAGCTTTTCTTATCTCACTATATAAAGACCTAAGACTTGAATCAATCAGCACAGCAACCAAAATCACATTACTACTATAACTATCGTACTATACAATGACTGAGGCAAATGCAAACGCAAGCATGTGGTCACTACTTAATGTTGTTGATCATACTAGAAACACTTGGGCAGTCAAAGTCAGGGTGATAAGGGCGTATGAGGTTCCTATCCATGCTAAAGGGGGCGAGACTCTTGAATTGGTTCTTCATGATGCAGTGGTAAACCGTGTGACTGAAGTCTTGGATTTTTATTATTTGGCAGTGTTATATTCTTGAACTTGAATCTATATGTTTCCTTTTTTGTATAGGGAAGTCGGATTCATGCTACTGTCAAGAGACCTCAATTGGGGTTTTTAAGTCCAAAATCAAAGAAAATAGAGTGTATAGCATCAGAAAATTTTGGTGGTTGATAACTACCAAACTTTCAAAACAACCAATCATCCATACCTCATTCAATTTATCAGCAAAACCCAAGTTAAGAATGAAGTCATAGACTTTCCATCCTATGTGTTTGATTTTCAACCTTTTGAGATGCTGCAAGTTCAAAGGATCATCAATGACAAACTACTTATTGGTACAAATCTTTATTCAAAACCAATATTTCTACGGTTTCCATGGTTAATATATTTTTGGTAAAAATATTTTTCGATGTAAATCAAATACTCTTTTCAGACATCATTGGAAAGTTTTTGGGCAAACTACCTGCCCAAACACATATCATTAATGGGAGAACAGAAAGGCTCTTGGAGTTAACATTGGGGGATGGAGAGTAAGTAGTTGTCGTTTTATTATGTTTTTGGATTTATTATTCTTAATAAATAAAACAAATGATTCAAACCAATAAACTAATTAATGTGAGTGAAATATGCAGAGGTAATCGGATTGGATGTGTGTTATGGAACAAATACATTGACTAGACTTGGACTCGGGACAGTTCAGGCTCGGGCCGGCGGTTCTAAATAGCTGGACCCGGGACCGACCCGAGTAGCCACCGGTTCCGGGCCGGGCCGGGCCTTGTTTAGGGTGACTCGAGCCCGAACCGGAAACCCATTAGGTCAGGCCTACCCGGACCGGTCACTGACCGGGCCACCGGTTCGGGCCGGGCCGGAATAGTACCGGTCCCGGGCCGGAACAGTACCGGTCCCGGGCCGGGCCACCCCGCCCGAGTCCAAACCTAACATTGACCAATTCACTGACTATGTGAATCAAAACGAGGTACATAACCTCTTCATAATATTCCAACTATGCCGACCGTGATGAACCCACAGACCTTATCGCAGCAGCAAACAACGAGTTATCCTCGGCTTGGTCAAAATTGAATTTTGGAGGAAAATTATTAGGTTTGTGTTCTCATGAGGGATGCGATTGCTAAGTCCTGAGAAGGCCCAACAAGATTACATTGTGAATCCGGTCCAGAATGGTTTCGTACCGTTCTAACTTGAGTAAAAAATGAATCTGGATGGAGAAGCGAGCCAATCATATCGAGTCAACCCGGAAATCGACTAATATTAGGGAAATTCTAAATACAGATAAATTATTACTTCCCTATCCCGCTAAGATGTCTCATTATACTTTTTCAAGAAATTCACTATTGTATTAGGAATTAGTGGCAAAATTTTAAAAGTCCATGGATTTTAAAAGTTTAGGTGTATTCAATGTGGACTTTTAAAAGTCTACAAAAGTCTATGTGTATTCAATATAGACTTTTAAAAGTCTATAAAAGTCTAGGCATATTCAAAGTTCCGTTCATTCTTATGGATATCTAAAATCATGGATTCTCATGGACTTTTAACTCATTTTTAGTACATTAATTATCTTCGATTGTCTCTTCTCCTCACTAAAGATTTCCGTGGACTTTTCTTATATCGGTTCTTCATCCCGTCCCCCACCCCACCCTGCCAACTCTCCTCTTCTTTAGCCAAGTCACCCCTTCCCCTTCGATCATTCTTCTTCTTCAGCCTAGCTCGCTCCACCTCTCTCCTTCCATTCTTTTTCTTCTTCAGCTTGCCCCACCCTCCTCGATTCGTT